GGAAGCTGAAAGCCCGGAGCTAGCTGTTGTAGCTTCTGCTATATGGCTTGCGTTTGTACTTGCCAACTTCAAAAGAAAATCAAATACAATTTTTTTCCCCGCTGCGAACGGGGACACATGGGCATTTTCCATGGCCCCCCAGGCTTCCACCATTATACTTACAAACGCCATCGAATTTGTTGTTCGCAAGTTAATGACGTCACGAGAGGGAACCGAACGAGGGCGCCACCAAAACAACTCGCCGCTAGTACTCAGCTTAAGGGCGAACGGAGCATAGGGGAAGAGTATAGGAAAGAGGGAAGAGGCACATTTTGTTCATTTTTTACAAGTAGCAAAATGCATAGCAGTCTCGACGAATGTGTCGGTGCAGGCTGTGAAAATTGCATTTTTCTTTCGGCAAAATGGGCTTTCATTATGCGCGTTAGTTTGAACACTTCTAAAACGAGTTGAACAGAATCGATAGAAATAATGAAGTAGGATTCGTTTACACCAAATGAACGAAAATAAAATAAAAACCACTACAACCGTTTTCTAAAACGTCGTTGGCTGCGTTGCTAATTCTTCGACAATGACTCCGCAAGGAGACACACGTACCTTGCGGCGAGTGACGACACTTCCGTTTTTTTCTGTTTCTGTTTTCACGGGAAATGATTAGCTGTACTTATCAATTACTTACGTTTGTGCAGCAGCGTTGTGCTTCGCCGTTCCTTTACCGCTGTGCAGGCACGCGTGGAACGAAGGTGCGCAGCATACTCTGGTCTCATAGGGGTCGCCAACATCTTGTTTCGCCATAGCCGTCTATATACTGACAAAGCCTGGCAGATCGCCACGGGAAGCGGCCGCCGAAATGGAAAAAGGTGGAGCGGCAGACAACGGATGAGAGGAGAGCCACGTGACTGGCGCCCCGCTGCGGCGAGACGCCGAAACACACTTCCCCCGAGCGAACAAGCGTGTTTCGGGCCCTCGCCGCTGCAAAAGCTGTGCGCTGACGTCCAGGCTCCCCAAGAAATGGCTCTTTGATGCTCTGTGCTTCCTAAAACCCGCACCGTCACGCAGTCGGCGCTTCGATAAATGTCGTCGCTATCTGCAGGAAGCTTTTATTATAAATATTTTAGTGCATGGGGGTGTGCGAGTACTACTTCGAATCGGAGAGCGAAGCGTCATCTCCTTGTTCTAACACTGCGAAGAGAACCGGTGTTGGTTTCCCTGGTACAGTCGGCACGGAATGAAACGCGAACATGAAGCGCATGGTTTTCAACCCATGCTGAGTCACCCAGAGACGCAACACCGACGGTTTGGATGCACTGAGCAAGTGTCTAACACATCGAAGGACGAGCCATCTTCTTGCAGCTCCCATCTGGTTCAGGTGGTGCAGCATCTAGCGAAAACCATGCAACCACTGTTCGCGTTTCATTCCGTGCCGACTGTACATGCAGTGAAGGCTAAGGGGTGACGCAGCGATATTTGATTCGAACCTCTACCAAAGGGGGAGACAGGTGAGAGGAGCCTCCACGAAGCCCGTGAACGGCAGGAAGCCGTTCACGGGCTTCGATTATTCTAGGTTGTTGTTGTCCGGACGCCGGTTTGAATTAATAATGCTCGCAAACTCTCGGAAATGTATATCTTCAGGAGCCGCGAAGTAATATTATGAACGCATTGGATTCCTACGTATTTTCTTCGGGCGCTTACGAATGCTCAGTTTTTAATAAAGCGATGATATCAAGTATCGTGTATGTGTTTTTTGATGATGAAGAACAAACGAACAAGCAGGTTTATCGGTTTGCTTTTGAAGAAGGACAGAAAGAGTTTCTTTCTTTTTTTTTTATTGTTGATCTGTAATCGCAAGACACGGTGACAGGTATAGTTTTACGCTGAGACAAACACTGTGCATGTACCGGAAAAAAAAATGTAGGAAACAAGAATTAGAAAAAAAAAAATCTAGTTCACGATGAAACATCACCCAAAGAACCTTTTGTTTTTTGACGGTACGTTGGGCAAAAAAAAAAAAGAAAAAAAAAAAGAGAAAAAAGACAGCATAGAAAATCGCCTCAACACACAGAAGCGAAACCTCTAAAAAAATTCTAAACTGTGATCCCAGAAAGAAAGAAAAAAAAAAAAAACGCACAGCAGTGATTTGACACAAACGAAAAAGCGAGGCAGTGAGAGAAAACGGAGCAAGATCTTTCTTTAAAAAAAAAAAATATTTGAGAAGAAACTAACATTATCATCGTAACACATTTCATTAAATACATCAGCACTGTGAATTAGTGCCAATATGTGCACTTCATAAACTAAAAAAGAAAAAAAAAATTGATGTGCACGACGTTTAGGAGTGAGGGACAAAGGTCGCATTGGGTGAAAGGTATTGAGCAGAGAAAGTGTTTCGTTCGACCAAAATCCCATAACGACCAACGATTTCAGACCGGCTAAAGTGTAAGTGGGGCCTAAGGTTGTCGGCTGGATGTGTAACAAACATTACACGGGCGACAATGATATGAAACGGAACTTTCAGACGAATTGAGGGTAGCAAGGACGATACTTTGGGCGCAATTTAAGATTTGTCGCCGGAATTCAAGAAAAAAGCTGTACACGTGTTGTTCCCTTCCCCCGAAAAAAAAAAAAAAAAGCGGCTACATTTTGTTTTATTTTTTAATGTTCGACAGCAGCCGATGCTACGTGTCGATCGGATAAATCAAGCAGCGTCACAAACGCAAAGTCATAGCAATGGTAATGTTTTTTTCCACGTGTTTTAACGTCTGCTAAACAAATCAAGCGCAGTGAATGCACGGTGACTTGTGCACATTGTATGTGTGTGTGTTTGTCGGTGTTTGTATGTGTTCGAGCTTTCGGCTGCGCAGAGACTCACAATAAAAAAAAGCTCAAACTCATAATTAAAACGAATCACGTGTCAGTGCAAACATCTCGGTACGTGTGTACACACTTTTTTCTTTTGCTTTCATCTCTGTTGTTTGTGTTGGGAAACGCAACGAAATTTTGAGTTCAGCGAATACGCACACAGACACGCACAAACACGGGAAAAATCGCTGATTCACGGTTTCGACAACCGCTACCGTCGGAACTTCAATCGAGAAACTATTCATCGTAAGGAAACAAAAAATTGAACAACTGGGTAGAGCGGGGAAAACGTCGATCGTGTGAAGGTATAGATAACTGCAACCCGGTCACAGGTGCGTTGAGATCAACAGCTTTTTCTTTCTTTCTTTCTTTATGTCTTGCTAACTTCTTCGTTCCTAGCCCTTCATTTACATGTTTCTTTCTTCCACGAGGAGCAATTTTCGTAGAGCACGTAAGCGTTTGTGTATGTACATTGGTGGCATACCCTCACCATTCTTTTCTTTTTTTAACAGCCCAGACGTTCGACAAGAACATGCACGCGCACACACACGCACATATACAAACACATACAAACGCATAACATTGTTGCGGCTTTACACTTGCACTCAGGGTGTGAACGACAATTCAAACCTGCAATTACATTCGTCGGTCAGGAATATGTCTATATATGTATATTTTTAACTCTTTCGCCAACAAACTCTCATTGCCTCGAAATCGCGGAGGGCAATCCAACGCAAATCCAGGACGAATCCGGGATAATCCCATTCACTCCGGTAGAAATCCGGACACAGTCGTCAACGACGATCCGACGGAATCCAAAGCCGACCCAACTCAACGCAAATATCCCAAAACTAGCTCGTTGATTGGCTCATCCATTTGACGCGATATGGTGACGTCATTATTAGGTCATCACTTTTCGCGCTTAGCGTTGGCGAGCTTGTCCAAGCGTGTGGTTTCGTTTTTTTCACGGGACGCTATGGCACTGGATTTGCTTTCGGACAAACCAACACGTGTACGCGTGCAAAACTTAAAAAAAAAAAATATATAAAAAACGGATCCAGTTGTCTTACGTATTGCATAAAGCTAAAAGAACGTGTGTTCGATAAAACAAAAAAAAAAGTTGATGGACGACATTCAGAAATCAAAAGGTATTTGCTGACGCCATTCCACTTATAGAGTGCTCTTTCAAGTTTGACAGGCACGAGCGCGCTTCGCAAATGCATTAAATATTTTGTTTTATTAATTATTCTTGTTGTTTTTTAATGTAAAGAAACGACCTTCGAAACACGCTTTCTGTTCGATCCAGCTGGTGGCCTTGTGGGGGCTGCGATGGAAACTAGGACGGTTTTACTACGTCGGATCGAGAAAAATACTCCCCCTGACCCAATACAAACCCAGACTGACACCTCGTGATCGTCAGCGCCCACTCTATATTCCTGACCTTCTTTGTTCTCACCCCTTTCTTCTTCTAATTCTAATCTTCTCGTTATAAATTTTTGTACTGTTTTAAAGATACTCAACAGTAACTTCAAAACCCACTAAGCGATGAACGGATGGCAAAAAAAAACACAAACACACAAAAAAAACTATGCCTTGACATGAGACTGTGTGCGTAGTCACGGAATCACTTTGGGTAGAGAAAATCGGACGGCAATAATGTTTTCTTTTTTTTGATGGCGGAAAACGGTAACGTCAGCCGGTCCCGCTATGGCGATTGGCTTCTCCCATGATGACGTCGGTTTGCGAACATCGTAGGCCACGCCTACCAATACACAAAATACGCGATGTAAAGAAAAGGGGTTAGGAGGTTGTTTTGTCTTCTTTAAATTCTGCTCTCCGTGTTTTGAAGGCTTCGCAAGAATAAATTACAACAAGCACCGCAGACCGGATGGTCTCTCGAAATCTTTAGAAGAACCGTACGCGCACAAGACACGCTAGCCGCGTATGTATATATATATACCTCTTTCTCTGTTTCGGAGCTCCGCGAGACCTTAGCTACAAAGTACGGGCGCACGCGCTCGCACTGTGTCTATCACCATCCATCCGTCGTGAGCAGACCCAGCGCACGTCCCAGCACACTCCAAGCCAACCCTGGTTCCGTCCGAGGATTCACCGCCACCCGGAGATCGGCGACGACAAACAGTTCAATGACTCGGGTTGTCCTCTCGACCAGACAAGGCACCACCGCCGTCTTCGATCCTATGGTGGTGGCTGTGCTGCAGGAGGGTCGACTGATGCTGCTGAAGTTGCTGAAGATGCTGCTGGTCTTGCGGATGCACATCCTGCAGATGGTGAAGATGGGCGGCGTGCGGATGGTGCGGATGGGACGACGGCGGCGGACCACTCATCATCAGATCCCTGAGGTTGGCCACCTCGGCGGCCAGCCGCTGCATCTCGGACCGCAGCTGGAAGTTCTCTGTCTGCAGGTCTAGCCTGGAGTGTGCCGACCGGTGGTTGCCAGGACCGCCGTTTCGGCTCTTGCGGTGCTCCTCGCGACGAGGGGAAGGCGCGTCCGTACTCGATGCTCCGCTGTCGCCGTCCGAAGACGCCGTGTCCTCCCTGGTGTGGAAGGACGACCTCAGCTCCGGCGACGAGGACCCCCCGCCCGCCGTGGCGACCACGACACCGTTGGGGACCGGCGGGACGTCGGTACCGCTGATGTGCCACTTGTGACGTAGCTTGTGCGGTAGGCTGAAGTGGTGCGCCGGCGGACTGTCTTCAGCGGACGACCAGGAACCGGAGGACAAGGGCGAAGATTCCTGGTCCGTTCCGGGGGCCCTGGGGTCTTCTATCGCGGCGTTCGGGGCGAGCAGCATCGGGGGTTGCTGAGGGGGTGCGATGTACGGGGGCAGCGGTAGCTGCGGAGGCGTCTGCGGGGATGGCGGAACCAGGGCCGGCAGGAGTGCGGACAGCAGCTTGTTGCGGCGGCCCCGGAGGTCCGTCAGCGGCTGAGGAGGCCCGTGGCCTCCGGAGTCGTGGTGGTGGTTCTGCTGCTGCTGCTGCTGCTGTTGCTGGTGGTGATGCTGTTCCATGACCAGGGAACCCCGGATGCCGAACTTGTCTCGGAGGGCGGCGAGTTCAGCGCGCAGCACCGCGTTCTCCTTGGCGAGCTCCAGGACCCGCGTCTCGAGAACCATGTCGTTGAGGCGCCGCTTCTCGCGGGACCTCTTGGCGGCTTCGTTGTTCCGTCTGCGCCTGTCCCAGTAGGTGTCGTCCTTCTTGTTGTCCGGGATGAACTCCCGCTGCTTGCGGGTCGGGAACAGGGGCTCGCGTGCCCGCAGGTCAACGGCAGAAGCGGCGACCGCAGCCATGGAGCAGAGCCATTCTCCGGGCCGGGGCTGCTTGGCAAGGGGCTCTCCCTCAGTCACCATCATGGCAGCTGCCCATCGGCTGGCGGGGAAGGGGAACGGGAAATGGGGCGGGAAGAGACAGGGACAGCGACAACGTCAGTCACGGGAACTTGGGAGGTTCGTCGGAAGAGAAACGCCACCATACTCATTATTAACCATGCCCCGACAGTATACTACAAGACATGTTGGGGTTTTTTAGCTCTAACTGTATACTTGTGCTTCTTCATCTCTTTGGGTAGGTTTTTTCAGTGTATGTTTTATATTACCAAACACGCTCATTCTTTAACTGTACTCGTTCAAAACACCAGGAAAAACAAGGTCTGCGCATTGTTTATACGCCCCGCAAAGTAGCTCGTGGAAAAATTGGTTGTCATTAAAACAAAAACAAAACAAAACAAAAGCTATGATTGTTTGCGTTTGAAAGGCGTACGCTTTGTCGAAATAACAAATAGTCATTTTTAAATACACATAGCTGTGTACTGTCATCGCATAAAAGGGAAAATTAGAAACGCTTCACGGGGAGCCAAACTTTTTTTTTTTTTACCAGTGTTTCTGAGGTTAAAATGAGTGTGCGCACGAGCTTATTGCATGTAAAAAGGCACGTTTCTATACGATCTGTGGGCGGACAGATGCGGAAAGAACTCCTTTTTCGAAGAGCGAAGCAACTAGGCATTCCGCAGTGCAACAGTCAGTGTTGACTTGGCGGGACGCCACGAGACGCTTCACCACCGTTTCTTGGCGGGCACCGTGTGTTTGTGGACGTCGAATCTCTAAAGCCGTAGTCATACTTGCTCGTTCATCGTACAAAAAGATGCGACGTCGCCGCAGACATGATGATCGATTTATCTTCGAACTCGCCACGGGCAAGTTTGAAGCCTGTTTGCGGACAGTGTTTGTATGACCGGTGTGACAGGCGTATAGAAGGAAGAAACACGTCTCATACCCCGGTTACACACGCGCTCTTAACTGTCATTCGCGATCGGTCGGAGTTACACAACGGCGCCAACTGAGTCGCTAACGATCATTGAGTTCAACTGAGGTGGTTTACCTTAATTATACTGTGTTTCACCTTATGATGTGCCGCAGGAAAGGCTATACAAGCGCGAGCTCCTCGCTCTGGAGCAGATCTCGGCGGTACAAGTTCTCGTGCAATAAGGGAAGCTGCCAACGCTATGAACTCGTGCTTCTAGCCTTCGCTGCGGTACAACATAAGGTCAAACGGAGTATAACTGATAGTGATGGGGGGTTCGGATTAATAGAGGTAGAGACGGCGGTGTTCGCCGCATCGCCGTTCATGGCCAGTGCCAGCGAAGCACTTGCTATTGCGGAAGATTGACGGAGGTTTCTAGAAAGTATCGTAGCAGAAAATATTGTCGGAAGGGGTATTATTCGGGGCCAGAGCTGCCGCTAGATCGATCACGTGGCGTCGCGGAAGCCAAAGTGTAGTGGCCTCTCCCTTCTAAGCCAATTTCTTTCCCCTTTGCATTTTTGGAACTATCATCAGGCAGCAACTAGTATACCTTTTCTTGCTAAGCATAGTTTATCGCCAACAGAGACGGCGCACTGATTATTCCGGTTCCTTTCAAAACCTCGTGACGCCCGTGACGCCATGTATTCGAAGAAATTTTGGCTATATATTATTATTATTATTATTGAGTCTCTTTCCATATCACCAAGACACAAGGTATGATACAAATGTCAAGCGATCCTATGTTTGATAGCAATATCACAAAGTTATATGGTGGGCTCTCATACCAGCGGTAAAATAAAGCAAAGTATTAAAGTCCCAATTCGTGACAATATCCACAGATTTACGTCGTAATAATAAAAAGAAAAGAAGACAGTGCTACTAAACGTAAATTTAATATCACACCAGCCTCGTCTTCGTAAGGTTCTAAATCAAAGCGTCCTTATAGATACTTGAAAATAATTAGTGATTGATCTTTCAGTGAAGCATGATTGACTAATAAAACTGTCGAGCTTGGATGTCGGCCGAGCCGTCAAAGCAGCGAAAGCACCGAACCGCTCGCACACCCAAAAACCGAAAACGACGCGTCACGGGACCTTCGACGGCCAATGGAGAGGCCCGCATAGGGTTCCGCGGATAGGGGGGCGGGGCCAGCCCGACGACCAGCAAAGACAAATAAACCTGGAACGGCCCGACAAGGTCTCACAATTGCCTCCCCCCCTCCTCCTCTTCCTTTCCCTCCCCAAACACACACACACACACGAAGTCCGTCGAGGTTAGCGAAGTGGCATCACTCTTGCACCAAACGTCTAATTTAAGAAAAGAAAAAAGATGGTGGGCAAAGTGGAAACGAGGAGAGAGAGGTAAAGAATGAAGCAGACGAGATAGTTGTAGCGGAGGGAAAGGGGAAAAGGCGACAAGAGGGAAAGGAATGGAAGAGGAGAGGCCTGAACTGCTTGCACGAGAGTTTCGAACGAAACGGACTTTAGGAAAGGGATTAAGAGAGATCAGAAAGAAAGGGGGGAGGGAATAAGAGAGAGGCGGGGGAAAGTACGAAGCAGACGAAATAACCGTATGTGAGAGACAGGAGCGGCAAAAGCGACACGAACGAAAGATGAGAGAGAGAGTTTTTGAAAGGAGGAAAAAGAGGAGGTGAGAGGGGGTGAGAGAAAGGTCACAGGGAAGAATGGCGGGCGACTGGACGTCCTTCCGGGGAACGCTCAATCGGGTCGAGGTTACGTCGACGTCAACAAGCCGCCGCCGCCGCCACCGTCGCCGCGCTGCGGTCTCGCGTGGCAAGGAGGGGGACGCGTTCTTGGAATATAGTACATATATGCACTTCTATGCGTACGACGCGAGCTTTGAAAAAAAACAAGCGCTTGCTGCGAACAATTGAAGGATAGCGGGTGAGGAATGGACATGGAGTATGAAGAAAATGGAGGATTGGATTGAGAGATTACGAGAGTTTCGAGAGAGGGGGGGGGGGGGGTTGTGGGTAGGATACAAAGATTGACTGTGTTTAGCTGCGTGGGAAGGCCCAATCACGCCCGCTCCGTTTATCTACACGAAGAGGACCAATCAAAGCGATCAAGTTTAAGCCCAGTTTCGTTCCTCTTTCACCTAATCATTAGTGCCATGCACGAGAGCGTCATTTTTTTGTTTTTCTTTTGTGACGTCACGGAAAGGGAGAAGCCTCCGTCAGCGCCCTCTCGTGAAGATCGGCGTCCACAGAAACAAAGTTACGCCCGATACTCGAGGTGCATTTGCGCGTCTGGCCTTCAGCTGAGAAATGTTTGCTTAAACGCAAAAGGCTTTCGCAGCTTTCTTATGTGGCAACTGCTTTGCAACGGATTAGAGCTTAATAAAGTATGTGGCTTATTATGTTTACACTTCTTGCTTTGTCATTCGTCCTTTGGCGTCCTCATCGGCAAATGACGCAATCTCATTCGCTGTGAAGCAAGAATAAGATTCCTGGGACTAAACACGGCCCGCGTTTTTCGAACTGTCAACGACTACATAGTTAACAATTGCTTCCCGTGCGAGTTGAAACAATAGCTCTTCATTGTGTGTACTTTCTGACCAGTGTTTTGAGACTACTTCGCCATTAGCACGACGACTGACCTCTCGGCACGTTGGTATGGCAACTACCCGAATAATGACAACAAATAATTGACAAAAAAAAAAAAAAAAGTGACCTACGAAGCGAAAATACTAGAAAACATTCGCCTAGGCTGAAAGTGCTTCCTGTCCTCGAATGCCTTTTTATATGTTTGTGATCATCGTGAGCGTCCTGAGATTGTGGCCTTAAAAAGTACCGCATCGCCTCCTTTCTTCTCTTTTTGCAATTTTTGCGTGTTTTCCCAACAATGTTTACGTCATTCGTGCTGTTTAATCTCTTTGTTTTATTAGTATCGCGGTAGACGGCTATTAATACCCGAATTATTAAGAGTTCTACCGCTAGAAATAAATAGGCACACGAATCGTGAGTGCCAATACCTGATCAAACATCGGTAGAGGCCGAGCATTTGTGCTAAAGTCACCGGCAGAGTGAGAACGGTAGGGCGTGTCTTTCGAGTGCCAGGCACTTCGGAACGCTGCTCCCTGCCTTCCGCCGTACTCGGGCTGGCGCGCGCCCTCGATGTGTAAGAGACCCCCAACGCGATGTCGAAGGACGCTCCCTGCCGTTCTCCCCTCCCTGCCGTTCTTGCACTATCGATGACCACGACTAATACATTCAAAGAAGGGCCTTGGGTGACCGAGTGTGCTAGCCCAGTGCAGTTCGGACGGAGCACGAGGGGGCGAAAGGTCTCTCAGCTGAAACCAGCGATACCGGGGGCGAGATCGTCACCCCTGCCCGTTTTGATCCGAACGAGCCTCATAATAAATAACGTCACTAAATCCTAAGAACAAAAACAACAACTACAAAAAAACAGCGCTATTGTTTTTTTTATTATTTTTATTTTTTTGCTTGCTAACCGGATACAAAAATAATCGAACATACAGACGACCGAACTTCGAGAGGTGATTCACTGATCGGTCTCGGTTGCCTAGGCAACGGCCGTTTTGGCCCATTCAAATCAGCGAAGCTTCAAAAATGATCGTTCCGAACCGACCGCGTCAAGAACTCTTTGGGGTATCGTGGCACTGAAAGCGTTCCTTGCCAATATAAGCGTCTTTGGCGGTGTACACGCAACGCAATTATCAGTCGTGCTTGTCTCCAGGGACCTCTCGCAATGCTCTAGTTGTTCTCGCGCATGTAAAAAACGGGGAAAGTTATCTTTCAATGCCGCCAGTCACCGGCGCCGCATGTGTGTGGTGGTGGTTGCGAAGGACGTGCGCTTGTTTCGACGGTGCGTGGGTAACGAAATCTCGGTGTTCAAGAAACGTCTCTGTAAACCTAATTGTCACCGATGAATTTAGATCGGCTTACCGAGAATGGAGAGGTCGAGGAGGAACGGCTCGTTCCATGAACCGAAATGACGACCATACGGAGAACTTGGCGCTACTTTTTCAGGATTCGGTGACATTACATAGTACCAGCGTGCGGTCGTGTACG